CTATATATTTACGTTACATATCTAACCCTCTTCTTATACACCTGTACACACATGTAAACAGGATGAGCTCTCACCTTTGCTGTTGTCCTGTTAAGTATGTGATTGTAAAGAATTGTCACATTAAGGCATTCGATCCCTTTTTACCCTGAAGCTTTCTAACTGATTTGCTGTACTTAGCAAATGCAGCCAATTCCGGACTTGAGTGACCCACTACAAATAAAAAGGCTCGCTGGCAACAAGAGGGCAGCGTGTGTCCTTCTGTCCTCCTTAATCAGCTTCCTTGGGGTACAACACAAATGACACTGACCTTTTCCCATTACATTCTGATAACTTATTCAGCCTGCAGGTTGCAGGCAACCATAAACACAGCCCTGCCCCGGGAGCTTGCTATTAAAAGTTTTCTGAGTTTAGAAACAGGGAAAATGGCTAAAGGAGAGTTTCTCTTACCATCGGTATTCTGTATCAACTCAGACAAGCTGGACTTTATTTATTTACTCATTTAGTTGCTGTGATTATTCAAACTACTCCAGCCACATTAACCCGTGTGTAATTCGAGAGAGGCTACACCTTAGGTGAATTTGGCTCCTTTTGTACATTCTTAAGGGGGTGATTTGAGCTGCAGTCACAATTCGGCAATCAGGGTTCAAGCAGCTGTTAGCAACTTTCTGAGCAAACACCAATAGCCTGGAGGTAAAAGCAATACAGAGTAGCAATTTCTAAACGTCCCATCTAATTGAGCAGGAGTAATGAAAACAAAGAATGAAAAAACCGAGCCCTCCAGCATGTAAACAAATAGTTCAGATGCACCGATTCCTCATAGCATCAACATACTTGCCATCGGAATAGCTCATGTCTTGTGCAAACACTTCTGAACCCTTCCCTTGGCGTGGGATATAATTTTAGTGCCTCTCAGCCTTTTTCACCTCGAATGCTAAAACAAATGTGCTTGCCATGACCCATTCATTCCTCGGCATCTTCCGTTGACAGGAGAGCTTGAAATTCGGCTCTCAGCATCTTTATGAACATGAGCTAAAGAGGAGCTTGTGGTTGGACAACGTGGGTTGGTTGGAGGGTTTTGGGGAAAGGCAAATCCTTCTGGAGAGAGTTGGTGGGGAAGCCCTGAGTGTGGAGAGAGGGTTTGAAAATGGGGGCATTTCGTTTCTCATTTAACTTTTCCTCAATCCCAGCTGGGGATCTGTAACCCCACAAACATCTCACGTACCCACTCAAGAAAGAAGGAACGAGGGACTGGCAAGAGTTTGTGGGTCATCAGACACCTTCATAAATGTAAGTAATTTGGGACTAAACACTTAAAACCTAAACTGTGTATCCTTACTCCTCTGCTGCTTAGAAAAGCTTTCCTGGCTTCTAGTTTGAACTACCTTGTGGCCAATTTACTAGTATCTATTCATGTGCCAATGCAGACCATTTTGTTTTGCCTCTTTCCCTGGTATTTAGCCCCTTCTTTCCTTGTTCTGTCCCTCTGACCCATCCTCATGGAAAATTATGTGCTTCACAGCCCCTCACTTTTTAAATAAGCCACATGTGCTTAGCTGCCTCTTGCAACGTCATGTTATTTCGCACATCCTTATAACCCCTTTTTCTTTTTTAATCCATTCCAGGCCAAATTCCTGCCTTGACCATGAGTGACTGGAGTGTTGTACACTAGACCAGATAGGAGAGGGTCTTACTAACACGTCATGTTGGCGTGAGCATCTCCCCGTCTCACCGGCAGCACGGAGGCATGCCAGCTGTGCCTGCAGCCAGCCACGGGCATGAGCGCTGGGATGTGTACGTGTGGGAGAAGCCTGGAAGGATGGGCTGTGTGGGAATGTAGCTGGACGTTCCCAGACATGATTCATGGGTGGCACATGTGCAAATCACGGTGAAGGCAGACACACTTCATCTAGCATATCCCAGATGGGATGCGGCGAGACACAACTAGGGGGAAGAGCACGTCTCAGGAAGCCCATCTCCAGGGTATCTACTGGGGTAACAAGATCCTCACTGGTGAACCACATCTTGCAGGGGAGAAAGGGATTTGTCCTCAGTTAAAATACCCCTTTCCACAGAGTTTGCAGGGAACGCACACGGGCACATCGCCTCCCTGACCTCTGAAGGTGTCGTGTTTCGCTGCTGCTGGGTGGCACATAAAGCGCCACTGCTGCAGCACCAGCTTCTGACCAGTTGTACAGCAAACGTCTGGCAGCCCCGAATCCGTCTGGGGCTGGATACCAGCTACAAGTGCACACATGCCCGCTCCCTCCCCGGCCACTGAGTGGAAAATACCAGCATTCCAGGAGTTACCAGGCTTATCTGATTTGGGAGGAGGTCCACGGCTTGGCTATTTATATCCAGTTATTCGGGGACTTTGCAGCTGTATTTGGACTACAGAGTCCCCGTGGGGAAGAGAAAGAACTAAATTAAATTACCTTAAAAATCTTGAGTGCAGCAAGGACAGCAAACGTTTCTTCGCAGCGTTAGTGCCCGGAGTGGCACTAGTGAAACTTTCTCGCGGGTGCCGTCGCCCCTCGGCGGTGCCGTCACCCCTCGGCCATGCCGTCGATGGCTGCCCGGTCCCCAGCTGTGCGAGCCACCACATCTGAGAGCCCAGCCGTGTGCTCGGCCCTGTGTGGGAAGTAAGAAGCACCAGACATAACTCGTAACACCAGTCCTAGAAGGCTCTGTTTCCGCAGGCACCAGGTGATGAAAAACACATGGCCGTTTTTCACCCTTGGCCGTCTCATCAGCCAGAGACTGCTCCTAAAAAACTGATCAGAAAGCAAAGTTTTAAAGTTTTAAAGTGACAGAATAGAGTACTTTGAACATGCGAGAGTGACGGTCTGTAACACAACTTTTCGGTGTTTCCCCTTTTAGATCCTGACCTAATGACAGAGGCCTGAGAGGACATCAGAGCATCCACAGCACAGGTGAAGGGCTGCCTGGGCAGAGCCCCTCCTGCCTTGCTCAAACCAGATGTCTCAAGTCAGTGAGAGTTTTGCACAAGTTAAGGAGAAATTTCGTTGTCCAAAGCCCTACTCTGAGCTTTAACACAGAGAAAAACACTTTAGGAAAGTGTGGAGAGGCAGCCCCGCAGTATAGAGACAGTGGGTATCAAGCCCAGATTTCAACCAATCCATAACAAAAACACTAAGTTCCAGTTTTAGTAAAATCTAGATGCCCAGAAGCATCATTTATTGCAAATCAGTTAACCAAAAAAAATACATCATTTTTGCAAACTACAACTTTGCATGTAGATAACTTTATTACAGAAGATATCTTTTCTTAAACTACACTCTAGTTTATAAAACATAGGAAGATTCAACACCACGTGATGTTTTTATCACTCATATTAGGGATGTCACAATAACAACGGTCTGAAACGTTAACTAAGATGAGTGTTCAGCAAGGCGCTGTGCCTTGAGAAATATCCACTTTATTTGGTGTTCTAATAAAAAGGAATGAGGAAAAGGAACCCTTTTCTTAGGTTTTCTTGATTAACTGCTCTCTATTTGCCTGTCCCATACCCATATCTAGTCTTAGGGTGTCTGCTTGCCTTTGCACCCAAGTGAGTGATATTCCAACACCTCTATAAGGTGATATATTTACGATATATTTAAGACTTGCTCATTTAGATTTTTGAAACAAAATCCACCTTTTCTTAAAAAAAACCCCAAAACATATTTACAAACATTAAATCTGCCACAGGCTTATACTATATTTTACATGATACACAGAAAGAGTGCACATCAATATAAAAAAAGATGCATCACTCCAGACTAACAAGAACCAAATGTTAACGTTTCACAGCACAGATTCGCCTGTGCTGTCCTTCGCCCTCCTGTTTAGCCAGTCCAGCATCCCACCAAAACCAGCAGCACTTTCCACTGAGCACCCAGCAGTCGTGCTGCCAGAGGAGCTGGATCCGGGCGAGCACGTGGAGGTGGCAGCGTTACAATGCTCCATCATCTCACTCAGGGTGTCTGCGTTACTAGACACACCTTCTTTAAAACAGGCAGGCCATCCTTAAAATAAGGATGTGGTTTACAAGCTTATATTGGCATTTATTTCCTACACAGTTACTCAAATGCAAACACGAAAACAAAAAAACAGTAAAGATATTCAAAGAAAAATTAAGTCTCCTTTGTGTAGAAACTCCACAGTTATGGGTTTGGTATATACTCCATAGTTACGGGCTTGCTCTCTTAAAAGTTTGGCAAATACACTTTTTTGGTGGGGGACAGTATTCATGCTTTGTAGGGTTTTTTTTTTTTCAGCTTAGAACCTGTTCTTACAGGTCTATAATCCTGATTTTTTTTAATCATAAAAATCATTTAAATATATATTTTTTTATATATATAAAAACAAGAGAACAAAAAATTTCTATTATCAAGGCAAATGTACAACTATATAATACTGAAATTTAAACAAAGATTCATGACTGGTACCATAAAATGTCCTCTCAGATATAATAGCAAAGGAAACATTTTAAAGTACATCTCAAACATCTGTCCATATTTAATTTTCTTTTTCCCCCCTAAGAAGCAGTTTTTTTAGTAAAATTTTCCTTCCCCTTTTCTTTCTCACCTCTCTTTCTGAGTTGAAAGAGAAAAAAATAAATTAATGGCATTCCAGAATCACAAATCGCTGCTTACAGCTTTACATAAACATTTCCTCTCAAATCAAACACAGTGAACTCCCCCAAACAAAAGAGAACATCCTATAAAAACCTAATTTTTTGATTTCTTGAAACACAACTGGTGTCCCATATTGAGTTCTTAACAATAGAAGATATAAATAAAAAGGCAGTGTTCTCATGTAAAATAAAAAGTACATAAATAAATACTAAAAAAAAAGGAATTAATTTGTCTTTTTAATTTTTTTTATAAAAACATATTTAAAAAGGATCCTTTAATAAAAGCATCCAATGTCCTTTTAAAAAAGATCTCCCTCGAGCTTCTAACTCCCACTGAGCGCCAGCGTCTCTGAAACACCGTCTTTTACTTGAAGGCTTCGGGGATGTGTCCCATCTGTGACTGCATACTGGTGGGAGGGCTGGAGATGCCCTCGGACCAGTCGGACACGTTGGAGTGAGGAGACGAGCTGGACCACTGGTCCGGCGACTCCGGAGACGGTGTTAGGAAAGGGTGGTCGGGCACCTGGAGCTGGTGGCTGGGGGTGTTGTCCAAGGGGGAGGAATAACTGTGCTGGGAAGGTGGAGTTAGAAACTGCGTGGTGGTCATGGGCTGGGCGAGGGAGGATGGCAGAGATGTGGGCAGCATCTGGGAATCTTGAGGCAGGATCGTGTGGACTGCCATGGTACTGCTGCTCACCGGCTGCATGTCGGGCTGGCTCAGCTCGGTACCAAGAAAATTTTGGCCGATGTGGCCGCTCGCGTTGGAGCTGGGGTTGTGATGCTGCTGCGGCTGCTGCTGCTGCG